AAGGTCACTCTCTCTCTCTTCTTGCCTGTGGAATCAAGGTTTGGTGTTAGGAAACAATGTTATTCTGTTTGACCAGAGAATCAAGGAAGCCTTTTAAAAGAGGTTTGGGCTGACACAACGTTTTCCAGGAAATAAAAGGCAAGTAGGCCCTTTCTAGGCTGAAGAAACAAGACCATGGAGGTGAGAGAGAGAGACCATGGAGGTGAGAGAGAGAGACCATAGAGGTGAGAGAGAGAGAGACCATGGAGGGCTCCAGAAAATGAGATAATGGGTTGGCTGAGTAATGTGTTGGGGATCTGTGTAGAAGAGTGTGTACAAGAGACATGTAGGGGAGAATGCATATCAGATGTATACTTCCCTTCTTTCTGAGGTGCTTATAAATGGTATAGTTAGTCTGGCAAACCATTTTTTATACAGTGACTGTATGGACAGCCCTAAGAATTTACTGTAGAGAAATGAAAACTTCTTTTCACATAAAACCGACAGCTCAACTCCATGCTATTGAGTGGATCTTGATTCAGAGCGACCCTAGAGGGACCCTAATCTATACATGAGAAAATATTCCCAACTTCTCTCAAAGAGCAACTGGAGGGTTGGAATCTCTGGCCTTGCAGTTAGAAACCTAATGTAACCCACAGCATCGTCAGGGCTTGTGTGATGAATATTTGATGAATGTTTATAGCAAATTCTATCATTGGTGAATTTGTGAACAACCAGAAAGTCCTGCTGGGTGATTGGAGAAACAAACGATGGATAAATTACACAGGGATTTCACTGAATGAGAAAAATTAGTATAAAAAAAGTTATATGTGTTGAGATATTATTTACATCTTGTTATTAATACAGCAACCACCACCACCACAAAAGTCCACCCAAAACAAAACAAAAGAAAAGTCTCTAGTGACTGAGCCTGTTTCCAGCTGTCAGGAGTGAGGACAGGGAGTGACAACAATGGTAGTTTTTAGGGAGTGTTTCGGTGTGTGTGTGTGTGTGTGTGTGTGTGTGTGTGTGTGTGTGATGTAATGGTTCTGTATTTTGATCAAAGGTTAATACACTAATGCGCACAGACATTAAAATGCATAGAATTATACAAACATGAAAAAGTGAATTTACTTTGTTTATTACTTTTATTGTGTAGTCTGAAAATAAATGTTTTAAAGCTGCTTAAAAAAGGGACAATGCCGGGAAGAAGACTGTTTGGAATTCTAAATTCCATAATAAGAGGGGATATCCTCTCCTCTCCCCCACAAAATGGGATTTTCCCCCCCCTCAGAAATAGATAATGTATTTGAAGGGGGAAAGAGTGGAATTGAATCAAATAAAGACAGAAGTATCAAAATCTAAGCCTAATCTCTCAGTACTGATCTGCTACAAGGCCAATCAGAAAAAAACAGGCAGGGACTCATATTCTGGGAAATCAGATGCTCGTGTGAAGTCTTGACTTCTTTAAGAGTTGGGTTTGTATTTTCTTGATTTTGTCTGTATTTTTCTTGATCTGTTTCACAGTCTATTTCAGGCACACATATATAACTTTTTGATTTTCCATTTCTTATTGAGAAGTTCTGATATAATTTTTCCTCAGGAAGAATCTCTGGTTGTATAGCTGGTCTTGTTTCTTTGTGTCAAGTGAAATTGTCTGTTGGTCTGGTTCCTCTGACGTGTTGTATTTGCTGTATTTTTATTGGCCTGGTGGCTGTATGTTTCTGTGTCTCACCCAGACTTTTTCCGGTGTTTGGATCTAGCTGAGCTCTCTGGGGGTTCTGATACCTTTTCACTAGCTTGGCTTGTTAGTGGGTGAGACAAAGGGTGGGAGTGGGAGCACATTTTGGTGTTCACTGTTCACTTTGAGCATTTAAGAACAGAGTGGACTTATATGGGGATTTTTTAAAAGCTGTGTCTTTACATTTTTTTTGAAACAACCTTATCACCTTCAAAGCAATCTCTGTTACTCTTAATACATTTGCCAAATCTGTGATTCCATTCTTAGAAACATTTTTCAAATTCTTCTGTTTGGATGGCTGACAGTACCTTCCTTGTTTTTTTCTTCACCTCTTCTATTTCTTCAAAGCACTGTCCTTTCATGCCCCTCTTCATTCACAGAAACAAAAAGACATCGCACAGAACAGGACCAGGTGAGTAAGGCACATGGGCCAAGAGAGGCATCCTTTTTTGTGTGTGCCAAAACTGGCGCACTGAGATGGCTGCATGAGCAGGTGCGTTGTCATAATGGCAAAACCAGCCCCCAGTCTGTCACCAATCAGGCCCTTTTGGTCACACACTCTTAGGCAATCCTTTCAGAACCTCTAAATAGAAAGCTTGATTCACAGTCTGACCCAGTGGAATGAAATCCAAACGCACTATCGCCCTCACATCAAAAACAAAAAGAAGAACATCATCTTGCACTTTGATTTCACATTACAAGCCTTTGGGGGGCAAGGTGATGATGGCATTTTCCACTGGCTTGATTGATGTTTGCTTTCAGGGGCATAAGAAGAGCACCATGTCTCCTCACCAGTAATGACCTTGGGAAAACAGTCCGGGTCACTCTGGAGCTGTTCCTTCAAACCACGGCATGTTTCCATTTGATGCTCTTTTTCCTGGTCAGTCAAAACTTGAGGCACACATTTTGCAGCCACCTTTCTCATTCCCAAATCTTCCGTTTAAATTTATTGAAATGAGCTCCAACATAGTCCAGATACCTTCCTCATCTCTTCACTAGTGTGTCCTCTGTCTTTGAGCACAAGTGCATGAATTTTGTTGACATTTCCATCTGTTTGGGAAGTTGACGGATGTCTAGAGTGGGGTTAGTTATCAATCGCCATTTCACCTTTTTTGAAATGAGAAAACCACTCTTACACTTGAGTTCTACCATAGCACTATCCTTGTAAACTGTGTTCAATATCACAACGGTGTCTCTGCCCAGCGGAGCTTCGCTCTGTTGTTTTTTTGTGTGTGGGGGTGGTGATTACCGCCTTGTATCTATGAGGTGATTTTTATTTCCTGAACTCCCAGCATCTTGGACATGGCACAATGCACTAGGAACATTCTTCTGATGCCATGACATCTGAGGATCAGCTGAAAAGCCCTTATCTTCAGTGAAATATTTGTTCAACGTGAAGCGTTTGTTTCTTGTTATTTCCTTCATCGGAAGAAGATGTTTTCCTCTCTCTAACTCTTCATGAAGAATTCTGGTCTCTGATTTACACCATGTCAAAACAGCAGTTTGGGTACAGTGGAGGAGCCCTGGAGGTCCACAGCATTCTGTGTTGGACTACTAACTGAAAAGTCGACGGTTTGAAACCACCCTCCTGCTCTGTGGGAGAAAGATGAGGCTTTCTATTTCAGTAAAGAGTTACAGTCTTGGAAACCTACCGGGGAAGTTCCACCCTCTCCTAAGGGGTCACTAGGAATCAACAGTGGTGAGTTTGAATTTTTGGATTATCCATACTATCAGGATCGCTGGTGGCTCAGTAAGTTAAACACTGTGTGAGAACGGTGAGGCAGTCTCCTTTTATAAAGATGTGCAGCCTCTGAAACCCCATGGGAAGCTGTGCTCTGTCTTGTAGGCTCCCTGTGATTCAGACTAGACATGGCAGCAGTGGTTTAGACTTTGAGTTATACACCTTAACTGTACTTAACTTATCAAAAAACATTTTTCAGGTCAAAACCAGATTTCAGTTGACTGGAAGACTAAAATAATTAATGTTTGTTGTAGAACTAAGATGATCTTTGAATGCTACTGAAAATTTTCACCTGGAGATACTTCCTTTCAGTGGCCTCACCTGGAACCACAATGCCATCTCCTCCTCACTGAAGATTTCCCTACATGCCCTCCTCTCAAAGCCACGCTGAGAGTGGTCCTTAGCCCAACTCAGGGATGCCTATGGCTCTTTAGAAGAGGCTCTTTGGATATGGATGCAAATAAGACAGTCTTATCAATGTTAAATGATATTATTCATGGGACACTGTGCCAGTAGTGTCAGACACTGGCACATGGTTAATAGTGCATCATCCTTCTTACTTCAATTATTATGATTATTAATTTAGGAAAAGAGCTTTTTATTGATCTAGAGACTATTATTTAGTGTATTCTGCGTCCTTTCTGCTCTTGACATTAAAACTCATCTCCAGCTTCCAGATCTTAATATGTATTCCCCACTCTCTCAATATGACTGAGCCAAGCCTAATTTTACTAAGATAATTATTATTTCTGGATTCCACTGATAAGAAGTAGCATGTGAAGCAATGTTGTCTAGGAATTCTTCCAAATAGGCAGTTTTTATTGTCTCTCTTTTAACAAGGAGCCCTGGTAGGTAAAGCGTTGGGCCGAGATGTGCAAAGTTGCCAGTAAAAAACCATGAGCTGCTCCACAGAGGGAAGACTGGGACTTTCTATTCCTGTAAACAGTCATCGTCTTGGAAACACACAGTGGGTCAGTATTGACCTAATGGCAGCAAATTTGGGTTTGGGTTATGCCAATTCTATAGACCTATCGCTGTGGGTTTCTGAGATTGTAAATCTTTATGTGATTGGCTGGTGGTGTAATGATTAAACGCTGGGCTGCGATGCACATGTTCGGCAGTTTGAAACCCCCAGCAGCTCTTCCAGAGAAAGACTTGCTACCCCCATCAGCAGTCATTGTCTTGGAAACGCACAGGGCCTCGCTTTGAGTCAGCATTGACTCTTTGGCAGCGTGCGTTTGGTTCATTTGGTCTCTATGAGTCCGAATCAACTTGATGGCAGTGAATTGGCTGGTTTACTCTTTTAACTAACAATAACAACAAAAGGTGTGGGTGGTGGTGATAAAGAATGCTCTTTTGTTTCTAGGAAATCTAATAATTCGCAGACTGTATTTCCATTGTCCCTTTCCCAATCTCAAATAGAGCTTCATATCACTTTTTGTTAGCACCCTGAGTATTTCCTTTGTTATACTAATCTGTGTAAATGTTTTCTGCATTAAAGTGTAATTCACATGAGGACAGAAGCTTATTTCTTTTTGTTGTTGTTGGAAACTAGCTTGTGGGTCTCAAAAAGAATTTAAGTCAGTTTCAATTTTGCTTTTCCTACTTTTATAACCATTTGGACCAAGGTTTAGGTCTAGTGGGTAAGGAATCTGAAGGGTTTTCAGGCTGTGATTTCTCCCCCCTCTCTCTTTTTAAAATTTTAATTTTTGTTCATTTTTCGGTACTATTATTTCCCCTTTTTATTTGTGGAATATAAGACATACTAAGAAAAACCTACTATATATAATGGCATAGCCCAGGTCACCAAAACAACGACTAGATCCCAGTAAACCCCCATATATGTGGCTCTTTATTTTATGTTCATTTCCACCACCACCACCCCTTTCTTCTGCAGCCCTTCCCTCTCCACATCACCCTCAGCCCTGGGCATGTTATAGTCTTTAAAGTCTTTTATATGGGTGTGAACTTCCCACCCCCTTTCTCCTTTTATAATTGAGCCCTGGTGGTGCAGTGGTTATGAGATGTGCTGCAGTCTGCAAGATTGCGGTTCAAAACTACCAGCTGCCTTGTGGGAAAAGCATGCAGCTTTCTATGCCTATAAACAGTTTTCGACATAGAAACTAACTGGGGCAGTTCTACCCTGTCCTATTGAGTCATCATCAACTCAGTGGCAGTGTTTGGTTGGTTTTGGATTTTTCCCCCTAAAACCATTTTATTGGGAGCTAATACCAATATTGTACTGTACCATAGTCAATCACATCAAGAAGTATTATGCAATTGATACCATAACCAGTTTCAAAGCATTCTCTTCCTTCCTGAACTCCTTGACATCAGCTCCCCTTGACCCCAGCATCCCCCACTGTACCCCCAAGAAACCCTTATTTCACTTGCTATCTCTATAGATTCATCAATCCTGGGTTCCAGATATGGAAAAACAGAAAACCATATAACAAAAAAGAGGGTTACCTTCAATGACAAAATACATCTGAGATAGACCCCAATATGATTTTAAAAAAAACAACAACCCACAGAAACTGTTGAAATCCAGACAGGCCCAATGTGCACCAGAGGGGGATCAACTGACAAGGTTTATGGAAGCAGGCCATCATGCCTTGCTCCCACCTTAGACAAGATGGTTGATTCAAACTGCTCCCCCTTCAGTTACTCTCTGATGAACAGAAGGTGAATGATGATCTGCAGTGTTACCATCTCCTCTGTCTCTCCATCAGCCATCTCACATGTTCAACCACTGCTGTTGGAATGCAACCATATACTTGTATTAGCACTGATGGCACAGTGGTTAAACAGTTGGCTGCCAACGGAAAGGTTGGAAGCTTGATCCCACTAGTGACTATACAGGAGAAATGACCTTGTCATCTGCTCCAAGAAACATTAGAGCCTACTGAGCTTCCTGGATGAGTTCTACTCTGTTCTAGAAGGTTTTCATGAGTCAGCATCTACTGAGCTTCCTGGATGAGTTCTACTCTGTTCTAG